CAGCTGAGGGCCTGGGACATGTGGGGACCAGGCCTGGGCACACCGGTTGGGGCTGGGATGGGGACCTAGGCTTGGGGGGAGGATTTGGGGCAGTAATCAGGGCTGGGTGGGCAGGATGTCTGGGGTGAAGGGTGGTGGAGAGGGGGCACGGGCAGTGCTAGGGGAGGCAGAGCATGGCATAGGGGTGCTGGGTGGAAGGGGTAGGGTGACACTTTCCCGAACCATCGTCCTATGTGTGGAGTGGTGGGGGATAAGGGGTGGGCAGCAAATGGAAGAGAGCAGCTGGAGCCCGGGCGGGCAATGGGAGCTCAGCAGCAGGTGCTGGGGGAGCACAGACACCCCTTTGTGCTCAGGAGCAGTGGGTTTGGGGGGTGGCTGGGAGAACATAATGGAGTAGGGGGTTGCTGGACACCGTGGAAAGCCCTTCTCGTGTTTCGCAGCAAAACCCAAGCTTGGTATTTCCACGTCGGGAGAGGGAGAGGTTGCTGGTGCTGTCGTTCTCTCTGGGCTGAGCCGTGCTGCCTCTTTAAGGGTTGAAGGATTTTTCCCTACTCCTTGGCTTTCCCAAAACAGCTGACTGCACTAAAGCTCCTCTCCAGAGGAGATGTGTGCATTGGGCAGATATTGCACCATGGGTCTCGCTGTCCGTGTGACCCTGTCAGCACCAAAGCTGAGCCTTGCCTCTCTCCAGAGCTTTGCTTTAGTCCTGTTACTATATCAGGGGCTGAGTATGTGTCAGACGACAGTTTTCATTTATTTCCCTGTGCTTCCCTGAAAAAAAACAACCAAATTTTTCTCTGGCGCTGCCCTCACAGTCCCTCCTATCTCCTCCTCCCCTCTCCAGAGCAAATCTGGTGGATCTTCAGAAGAAGCTCGAGGAACTGGAGCTGGATGAGCAGCAGAAGAAGCGCCTAGAAGCTTTCCTCACGCAGAAAGCCAAAGTGGGCGAGCTGAAGGATGATGACTTTGAGAGGATCTCCGAACTGGGGGCTGGCAATGGCGGTGTGGTCACCAAAGTGCAGCACAAACCCTCAGGGCTCGTTATGGCACGGAAGGTAATTAGGGGCAGGAGGAGTGGGCTGTGGGCTGTGCTGGAGCGTCTGGCACTTGCCCCCGCCCTGGGAGAGCCAGCTTTGGTTGGGATCTCTCTGTACTGACCCACCTGCACCCTAAGGACCTCACCTGGGTCAGGACTGTGGTCCTGGCTCCCCCCAGCTAGGTTTACGTGGAGATTCTCCTGCTTCATCATCTGAGCGGCTTTGCCTGGCTCCGAGTCCTCCCTTGGGAGAGTCCGCGCTCTCTCCGACAGGTCCCTGGGGTTTGCAGTGCCTTGTGTGAAAACATAAGTTTATGTTCTAAAACTTCTATGTCCAGCTAAACTGGACAGAAGTGGTAGGAAGCAGATCTCTTGAAGAACCTAGGTTGTGGCTAATGAGGACTGGGAAGGGCCAGTGGAGGGATGAGTTTGGCCCACGCAGATCCCTCGCCACCCAGTTAACAGATCCCCAAGGTAGTTCCACGCAGCCATGACAGTGATTCCTCTCAGACGTGCGTTTATGGATGATGTCTTTTATTGTGGTGCACTATAGTAGAAAACTAGGAGATGCTTCATCTGCCTATTAGAAAAGGCAGTGCTCGGTGAGAAGAGGGCAACTGCTCGTCTGTAGGACCGTTTCCTTGAAAGTCTCTGGTCTCACCTGCTGTTGGGATGAGCAAACATGCTTCTGTAGGTGGCTTCACCCAGAGCTGAGCTCTTGGAGTCTTCCAGGGCATTTGATTTGGGAGTGTTGGATGTCACTGGGTGGTTTTGAGATTGTTGGGAGCTGTGTGTTCAGAAACTGAAGTGAAAGCAAGCTGCAGCACTGCTGTCCTTTCTACAGAGACCAGCCTTTGTAGGTCTGCGGGAAGGACAGATGTCCCTGGGGTTGGGTGTCCTACAGCTTACAATAACAGTGGCTCTTTTTTCTGACCTGTCATTGTATTTCGTAGCCTTTGGCTTCCCTACTCACAGCTGTGTTAACTGACTCTATGTGGAGCCCAAGGAATAAAGCAACTGCTCTTTCATGTGCATAATCTTCATGTTTTTTGGTTGTTGGGTTTTTTTTTTCTTTCTGTGGTTTCCTTGATATCAGAGCACCTCTTCTTACAACACCTACAGAGCTTGTGAAAATGTTCCTGCCTGCTGAGTCAGATCTGCATCAAACTTCTGACTTGTCTTTCCGCTCTGTATCCTGTGCAATCTCCGCGTCTTACATGGCCGGCCATTGCTTCAGTCGCTAATAGGCTACTACGGGTTCTACCTCTCCCTTTATCCTTAATGTTAGTCTGCAAATGGTAAAAAGTCCATGCCAAAGCAGAACTTCTCTTGAAGATGTCTTTTTTTGATTCTTTCCGGCACTCAGGACTTGCTGACATGGTTCCTGTAAGTTTGTCTGGGTGTTACACCTTGAATATATATTTTTTTTTTTCTTTTTTGGCAGCTGATTCATTTAGAAATCAAACCAGCCATCAGGAATCAGATTATCCGAGAGCTGCAGGTGCTGCATGAGTGTAATTCCCCATATATTGTGGGTTTCTATGGAGCCTTCTACAGCGATGGAGAGATTTCCATCTGCATGGAGCACATGGTGAGTCTCTGTTCCTCCTCTGCAAGCTGCTGCTCCCTGGACTGTTCTGAATTGCATCTTCCCAAGACTGAAATTGCAGGTGAAATGGGTTAGGGTGCTGGCAGCTGCCACGGCTCCTTGGTCTGGTTGCAGCAAAGCCACTGTGCTCCTGGTAGGAGCTGCACGCTCCTGCTTAGGCATGGAAATGACAGACAGATCAACTTTTTGGAAAGCAGAAGCAGAGGTTTGGAGGTTGGCCAAACGGAAATGTTGTAAACTCGGCGCTCTACAGAGCTTGCCGTGAAGCACAGTGTGCATTTTCTGTTGTCTCTGGTGAAGAATATTGGTGTCGTTCCCCCAGACCAGCACTGACAGCATCATCTTCACATTTACCACTGAGGGGAGAGAGGAAGCTAAGAACTAATAGCAAGAAGTAGAGTTGATAGAAGATAGCATTGAAATAGCTTTTAGTGAGAAGCCTGAGCTCTGATCACCAGATTTTTTTTTTTTTTTGCTGTAAAAGGGGTGCGCTTGATGCCGAGTTGTTGCAGACAGCTGGGCTGTGATGCTATGTACTGCTTAGCTACCACTTGCCCTCCCTGAGCACGCTTGCCTTTACAGCCAGCTGCTCTGTTTTCCTGCCAGGGTTTGGCGTAAAACATCATTTTGATGTTCTTTATTTTAGGATGGTGGCTCTTTGGATCAAGTGTTGAAAGAAGCCAAAAGAATTCCCGAAGAAATCTTGGGGAAAGTCAGTATAGCGGTGAGTTAACAGTGGCTCTTCAGGCTTCCCAAAAGAATTTGCTGGGCACGGTTTGGGAATAATGCTTGTGTTGCCTTAGGAAGCTTTCTTTGTTTCCCTATACATGCTTCCCTATCTTGACCCAGGGCAAGAGGCAGTGGTATGTGCGAGAGGGGAGGGGGAAAGCACATTCTCAACCATTCTCTGTAGCTCCAGCCCCTTGCGTTGCACCGGTTGGTGTTGACCTCTCCTGGAGAAGATTCAGGAGAAGCTTTCTGTGGCAGTAAACCCAAGATCTGTGATTGACTTGGTGATAAATTGCAAACCTGAAACACGTGGACACTACGAGGCGGCTTTCCTTGCCAAGCTGCAGTGTCGCAGCACCCGGAGTTTATGCAATGAGTCCCGCCGAAGGGAGAGCGCTTCCCTTCCCAGCTCTGATCTCATCCTGTCTTTGGTTTCCTTCTAGGTTCTGAGGGGCTTGGCATATCTGAGAGAGAAGCACCAGATCATGCACAGAGGTGAGAGGAGGAACCTAAAAATAACTGCCTGCAGTACAAGAGCCCTGTGTTTTACCTACAGTCACGTTTACACTCTTCTCTCTTGCTGTTGTCAGATGTGAAGCCTTCTAACATCCTGGTTAATTCTCGAGGAGAGATTAAGCTGTGTGATTTTGGGGTCAGCGGTCAACTCATTGACTCCATGGCAAACTCTTTTGTGGGAACTCGGTCCTACATGTCTGTAAGTTCCTTTCAGCTTTCAGCTGGGTCTTTTTATAATTTGGGTTCAACCTGGCTCTTGCAGAATCAGCGCGTGGTGTCTGATTCACTCGCAGTTTTGCTCTGTGTTTCCGTGCTCATGCGGACTGCCCCCTTCCTGGTTCGCATTGGGGGTGAGCCCAGTGCTTCGAGGCACTGTTCATGCTGGCAAAGCAGACATGTCCGCATCCTCTTGAGGAGCTGCAGTCCTGTCGGCTCCAACCTGTTCCTGGCTAGCTGTGGTGCATGTGCAGAAGTGCAGAGACTTGCACGGAAGGATGTTTCAGATCTTACAAATACTTCCATATTTTATTTTGGCGAGTGTTTGTGGGTTCAGAAATGTCATCTCTTTCTGTATGCAAAGCTCTGTCCAAAAAGACTGAGTGCGGAGGGCACGCAGATGCTGGCATGCGCACCTCCTCTGCTGCTTTGACCATGTGCGCTCGCTGGCAAAATTGGGGTAAAACCAGTCTAGTGCAGTAGGATTTGGTGGAGGCTAATGGGAAGTTAAAGCCAAACTGGGGTCAACCGGCCAGAGCGAACTGCAGGTTGTGCCACTGCTTTAAATGAGAATCAGCAGCAGCATTAGCTCAATCGCAGATGATAGAGTGCCTGTAAGAATAAAACTGCCTCCTGGCTGGCTC